TTTCAATGAATAGGAGTAGGAACAAACATGCAGTCATGGATTTTTTTATTTATATCGTATTTGATTTCACATGAACATGATGATTTCACAATTAATATTCTAATATCACAACAGTTTATAATGTCTCAACATCAAATTTAAAATACATCTCGACAATTTATAATAAACCAACATGATATTTCATGATCATCACAAACGTACAAAATGGACCACAGCATCTGCAAATTCAATTGCTGACCTTCTCCTCACGTAAGGGTCTCTTTTCTGCATAAAGTCTGGTCTCAAGATGTCGATACTTAGATCTCCTGGATCTAAGCATACCCCCACCTACAAGCTGCAGGATATGGGCCTCGGTCTAGGCTTGTTCTGTCTTAAAATGTCAATAATTCTGTAGATGTTGGGGTGGGGACTGCCCGAGCTTGAAGTGCCAGCCCTCTACGTGGTTGGTCGTTCTTGGGCCGACGGTGTCGTGATGATTCCATGTGATTCGTCCATGATCGTCCAATCAGTCACATAGTCAGTAAATCGGAGAACCCTGGCATCATGGAGAGGGGCGTCGTTGAGTGTGTTGAGGAATCAATGGCAAGGCAGCAGCTCTTCTGATCAGTAGTTTAACACTTTCGTTACGGCTATACTCAGTCTGCAGTCCAAACCTCTGAGCATTTCGCCAAACACATTGGCCAAAATGAAAAAAACACCCCTTCAATGTACAATTGACAAAAACATTACTTAGTGCATTCCGTGCTGCACATTCAAGGTCTGTGAAAACAGTTTGTGGATTTAGATCAATTGCACATTTCTGCTTAAGGGATTGAAATAACTTAACATTCGTTGACTGCCTCTTATCACATAACAAGGCAAATAGTAAGGGAATCTTCCCTGACACAAAAGCATGTATTGTATAAATCTAGTCCTGGACACATGTTAAATGTGCCGTCACAGAAGATGGTGTCGGCTCTGGCAAGATGCTGAAGGTTGCTGTCGGTGGCAAAGATGAAGCTGTTGTTGTCGGAGTGGAGAAGGAAGTCAGATTGTTGTCTTGGTGTAGGCATCTGTCAGGTTGATGTCGGATCGTTGTTAAGCAGTTGAGGGATGTCTTTGGCCCTTGATCTGTAGAGGGATGATCCGCAACTGTAGAGAGTTGGTATCTGGGGAAGTAGGTTAGTGGTTGTCTCGTCAGAGCGAAGTCCTTAAAAAAGAAATATGTACATAAATATTTTGCAGTATAAATGTATACACAAAATGACAAATATAAAATTAATACATAATTTCATTGCTACAGACGGTCCCCTACAGACAAGTATGATGGCCCGTTTTAATTGATGTTGAAATGTATTTGAGAAATGTTGTACGAAATTAACAAATGCAATTGATCATAACATACCTGCCAACTCCTCTCTGTAGATTGCAGGGACAGGTTTGGATTGCTCTCTGACTTTAGTCTTCAGATCAACCAAGTAATTATGTTGATTCTTAAACTTCACCAAAATACCATCTTTGGTGTTGATACCAGCTCTACACCCTGCGCTTCAACACTCCCAATAGACCCGACCATCTCCTCTTGACTTCACCCTAAACTTATGACCCCCATACACTAAGTTATCACCACCATGCTTGTTCTTAATGTAACTAATATCAACTTGTGCGTTTGCCATGATTGCAATGAACATCCTTGAATATGTCCTGCATTTATACTGTTTATTAATGAGTGATCACTACGCTCACGCATAAGTGGAAATTAGTCACTTACTTACTTACTTACTTTGGAGATTTAACGTGCGCTTTCCGACTGATGCGTATTTTGCACACGGGTCCGGCCAGGCCATTTAATGTGTTGCCGAAAGGGGCGAAAGTGGTGTGTGCAACCCAAGAGGGGGCTTTAGGGGTTGCTTATATAGAATTTGGGAATTTTGAGATTTGGAATAGATGCCGATGGGATTGGGGAGGAGAACTAAGGGAGCTGGGTATGGTGGATGCTTGTTTGTTTATGTAATTTTGATTTGGTAGATTATTGTGCTTTTAGATGCGTTTTATTAGTTCCGTTTTGATTAAGAATACGCCTAAGGCCTTGAAGTTTTCTAGTTTATTTTGTGGGTTTAGTATTGCTTCTAGAGTGAGAGCCTTGTTTAGATTGAGGGTGGTTTGTAATGCGGTTCGATCTGTTAGGTAGTGTGTGCAGTGGATGAGTGCGTGTTCTGGGGTTTCTAGTTGTTTGCAGTGTGGGCAGTTACCTGTAGTAAGATTTTTAAAATTTTTTAGGTGGTTATTTAGGTTGGTGTGTCCTGTTTGGAGTTTAGTGATTACTCTGTCGATTTTTTTTGATGGATGGAGAATTTTTGGTTTGGTTAGTGGTTTGCTGAGTACTTTTTGATTTGGCTATTTGAGTTTAGATATAGGTTATGCCATTTTTTGGTGATTTTTTGCTTGTTTACGCTTTTAATTTCTGATTTTGAGATGGGTAAGTTTAAGCTTATTTCTGGGATTTTGAGGGATAGTTTAGCTGCCTTATCGGCGTTTTCATGACCGTATATTCCTACGTGGGCGGGTATCCGCAAGAAGGTTATTTGTTTGCCTGCCTTAGTTAGGTCGTTGGAGCTTTTAAGTATTTGATTTATTAATTTAGGTCGGTTTTTGGTATTTTTTAGTTTTGGAGGGCTTGTAGTCCACTTAGGGAGTCGGTAAGTATTAGGATTTTTTTTGTGGTTTTTGGATTCTTGATTATGGAGGGCTGAGGCCATGCCCATTAGTTCTGCCGTGAATATTGATTGGTTGTCCGGGAGTCGGAAGGATTGTGTGGTTTTAGTTGGTTGTGTGGTATGGACTCCGAAACCTGTGTGTTTGGAGGTCGGATCTTCAGAATCATCCGTGTAAATGTGACACCAATTTGGCCAATTTTCGTGTATGTATGCTAGTGTGGTGGTTTTAGCTATGTTTGGGTCGGTTTGTTTATTTATTTGGCTAGCTAGTGTTGTGTCTATTTTGGGTATTTTAAATTTAGGGGTGAAGATATTTGATTGTTTGCAGTTTTGTTTAAGATTTTTAATTTGGTGTTCATTTAGGTAGTTTGTTATTCTTTGGGATATTGGGGTAAGTAAGGGGTGTTTACGAGTGAACACGGTCCCTCATATTATAAGAGCCTGGCATAAGTGCTAATTGGTTAACACGGTTCAATCTGGCAGGTGGGTGAACTTAACTCACCCACCAGCACCCCTACCAATAGTGTACCCAAACTAATCCCGCTATTGTTCTACGCCTGTCTGGGTTTGTTGTTTTAAGAAATATTGGGAAACCGGGGGCACCCCGTGGCACATGAGGCTGTACATTGTTTTACACGTTGTTTTGTCAATGATCATCCCGTCGGGAAAATTCCCAGTTTTCTATCATCGCCTGAACATATAGGAGGGACTAAATTAGAAGATACATATGCTGTTTTAAAAAAATATGGCCAGGTTACTTGTATATGAACCGCGCTAAGTTAATTTGAAACCTAAAGCGCAGCGCAGCTACAAATAATCTACATGTAGCTCTACATTGAGCGCACAGCGAGTTTGTCTCCATTGTACCATGACAATTTATATGCAAATTCTTTGGTGTTCGTGGAGAGCGAAGCCGCATTGGTTAAGGTTAATATTTTCGTTCTGAATTAGTGAAACATCGATACTAACCTTTAAACAAAATATTGCTGTGTATGATCAAACGTTGTCTTTTTATATCATTATATAATGGATATCATTACAGGAAGCGTCTAGAATAGCTATTTCGTAAGCCAATATGATTAAAATTAAAATAATTCGGTATTTGGCAATTTGACAACCAAGGGCCAAATTGATAATACACTTCGGTCATAATTCAGGGCCAGTATTTCTTATTGTGCTGATCAGATAGCGTTAAGCAAACACATGAAAGGCGTCAATACCTTTATCTGTCTCTACAGCTGTTTATCATGCATCCTTATCAAATCCCACGTACAACGTATACGTCCGTAGCATGGTATCAGCTATTCTTCTTCATACTACACTTCGCGCATAAACACTGTTATCATTATGCATACCTGAACCCCTCGCCAATGTTCTTACCTTGCGACCCAGTTGCTACATGACTGGACATCCTACATCCCCAGCAACTCACGTGCTGTTTGCGGCTCAATTCACACAGTCAGACATTCCCTGACTTGTCTTCGTAGATATCGTTCCTGTCCGACCAGCAGGGTGGTAGGGAGTCCGGCTCAGACATTCATTGAACAGATCAAGGAGAAGACAGTTGGTTTCCAGGTCCCCAATCTCTCCTTGTTCAGGTCATTATTAGGACCTGCAGTTGGTAATTCCACAGGGTAAGCGTAAAAATAATGTCGAAGTGGTTCGGTTGCTCAAAACCCACATGGGTGCCCAATGATTATGCCCCAGACGTGCCACAGTAACAGGCTAACTTTGGTAACAGAAGTGCGTCAACAATGTAATGATTTCCTTGAATTCAAGAAGAGATTCGATGAATCTTCTATTACAAATTACGTCATTATTATGATTTAGGTTCTGAAATATCAACTTACATGTTACTTTGTGAATGTATGTACTAAATAGTGTGTCTGGTGGTCAGGCTTGCTGACTTGGTTGATGCATGTCATCGTTTCCAATTTGAGTAGATTATTACTATATTAAGCGGAATAATAACTGTAAAATGTTTCTTGTGTAGCCACAACACATAAGCTTGGAATATAAGCGAAAATGTGTTGATTAAGGTTAGACAAATGATACTCCTATGTTACAGAAAACCATCCCGACCCGGTGTGATAATAAAGTAAAGAAATGTGAACGTGCACAAAGAGATGATGCATGATGTAAATTAACCCGATAAGAAACCAACAATCTTCGACTGTTTATGTCACCAAGACTGTTTGTATGGCATGTTTGTGCACGAAGAACCGGATATGATTACTGACGTGCCGCCATCGTCACACTTGTGTGATACGACACCAGCTGTAATCTATACCCTTGCCACAATGACGCTCTTCTGGGAGGATACTGTTTCACTGTTGGTTGAAACTATACCTATTTCCGCGAAAAAGGCGTGTTTGGGTTCTGTCTTGGGTTATATAAGTAAGGAAATCGCGATAGAATAACAAATCTGAAGACTATTATTAAGGTAAGAGCTGCTTGAGAGAGATATCTTTAATACATGTATGAAACTGATATTTATGTGAAAAGATTTCTCTGGCTGATGTTTATGCGCAACTGGTGTTTATACATGGGCATTGTGTGTGATTTATGTTTATCCTCGGTGTTTGGAGCGTGTTTATGTGCAGCTGATATAATGTGCGTGTTGGATATTTATGTACAACGGATGTTTATGATAGGGATGCCTGTGTATGTGTGTCCATGTTCAACTGATGCGTTTAATGTTCGACACGTGTGTGTAACATGCGTAATAATGCTTTGTTTTATGCAGGCACTTCAACTTAAACTGGGATGGACCGAACACATAACTTCCTATACATTGCGGGGCTTTGCTTGGCATTTTCGTGTTCCTTATCATATGTAAGTACATGAATCTACGACAATGATTTATTATCTACATGTGTGTACTACGCTGATTTTAAGAAACCTACGCTGTGTTAAGAAATCTTACACGAGTTTCCTTAATCAAGGGCGATGTCAAAACTTGAATATATTAACTCCGAACAAATATATTATTTGCAATAATGTCTCTTAATGATTTTCACCATTCAAGAGAGTTAACAGTACTGAAAAGTCGTCACTGATGTGACGTCACACAAAAAATGGCGTCATCAGTCATTAAACTGTTACAGAGTATTCACGTTTAATTATATCTCACCGGTAAGTGGGGTTTGATTGTGATCGGTCACATTATGTTCAAGCGTGATGGGGAAAAATAAATTTGGTATTACATACATTACGTACTTGGTAATGTACTAACGTAAATATTTCGAACTGTAGGGACAAAATATATATTTATATGGTCCTGTTTATGTTTGGGTTTATATAACACCAAGGATTTTAGATTTTGTTTTAACTTTATCGATCACGTTTGCATGGAAGACAAGGGATCTATTTGGAGGTGAAGCATTTTATGGTCTCAGACTAAATTATAGAAATGATCCAACACTGTGTAAAAGGAATTGTAATTTAAGTCGCACATTATTTTGGTATATTCATATGTTGATTAATGACATACTTTGGATGTTCTTTAGGCTGGTGCTACTTCCGTGAATCGGGTAAAAGTAACATTATGAACATCTCGGCAACACATTACAAAAGGTTGGCTTTGAGGATTTTGACATTACAATCATAAAGAAGCCACAGTCACATGCTCTAAATAGTGTCTAGCTGCATCTATAGCTCAACATCATGAATATTAACCTTGTGATTCCATTGTTTGTAGTCGGATGATGTGGATGTCGATATCTCCACGACACGATACGACTGCATGACCACCACATTTCCACGGAAAATATCACACTGCTTTTCTCCAGGAGAGGACGAAGCAAAGATAACGGCAGATCATTTTCCAGAGCAAACAGTGTGCTTATCTGAAGAGAACAACTCGTTTTACATTTGTTCTGGAGGAGAGTGGCTGGAATCGGAGTTTGTACAGGAAGGTGCTCCAGGAAGGCACAAGAGGGGATTTTTTAAGAAACTTTTCAGAAAAGTTAAAAAGGTAGCACGTTTCCCCCACGACCAGATTAGATCGCGGCTACCCTTCTTCAGACGTCGTAGACCCTTTCCTAAAATATGTAAGATATGTTTTGATTTCACATGCACATGTGCAGGTATATTGATATGTAAAGGTATATTGATAAGTCAGATGCCAAACCTTTATTAGATTATAAAAACATACTTTATTATAAAACTTTATGAGTGAGTTTGGCGTAACACCGCTACTTAGAAACGAAAGAATATATTCACATATTCATATTGTTAAATACACATTTTAGGTAGTTAGAACCTGTCATTTATCAAATGACTTATAAAATTCAGTGTTCTATTTTTCGCATATACATGTTGTTTTATCGATATTAATTGTCCTAATAACATCTTGGTTTGCAAATGTGTGATTTCAAGCTATGATGATTCCTTACTCTACATCCTTGTGTCTTCATACAAAAGACGGAACTAGTTATGTACGTCATGTCTATATGAATTCATTAATCAATGAGTATTTATGTTAAATAATCCCTTTCAACAATCTATGTTATTTAAAACACCTCTTTTACCTGTGTGCTTTACCCTCCAGTCAATAGCCCACCTTCGATAACTTGTCCTCCGATTCCCAGCACTATTATTGCTGAGTCCGGGGCGTCCGAAGCCACAGTCAGATGGGGCGGCCCTAAAGTTACCGACAAAGAAAACAGGATCGAATCGTTAGTCATGTTTTCTTCTTCACCTGATCTTCACTTCTATTTCTTTTCAGTAATCCATCTTAAGATTTCAATTCTTATCTGATACATGCGATAAGTTTATATTTTCATCAAACCGTTGAACAATTATGAAATTTTCCCTGTTCCGTATTCTGATAACTTGACCCTTTCTACGTTATTCTCTGCTATTTTAATTCTGTTCTATTAATCAAACCCGTTTTCACTCTATCCCCAATCAGCGTGTTTCTCTGTTGTATGTCATGGCGACTTTCTTCTGTTAAGTACACGTTTAACAAGTGGCAAGGGTCCAGGCAGTAGGTTCGGTGCCGGGCGCCATACAGTCAGCTACAAAACGACTGATCATCTAGGCGCTACTGCCTCATGTGCGGTGTCATTCACTGTTAAAGGTGGGTGTGACGAGCTCTTTGTGTACAAAGACTTGACTAATTTTGATTAGGTCGACATTCGACATTTCGTTTTTAGTTTCAACATATCATTTTATCAATTTTCTGGTCCATCACTTGATTATTTGGTTTGTTTACATGTCGCAGTCGCATTGCAGAAGTACTGCTGTTTGGTGTCAAACAGTGAATTGTAAATTGTGTTGAGGTGCCTATATGGCAGGACACGCTTACCCTTTTCACCAACACCTGGAAACATTCATATAATTTTCACAGCTATGTTTCCTTCTACGCCCAATGAAATCTGTTTCGCCAGATAATCGTTTAATATTCACAATAAAACCGACATGTATTTGAGGTATTTCAGTGGATTCCAATTTTAGCAGTTGTATCACACAATGATTATACACATGTCCCCATTGTTTATAAGAAATATATTCTGCACCCCAGACTTAAACTTATAATAAACCAAGGTTTATTTCCATACCGTCCTTATGTTTTGTTATTGCATCGTTGCTTTTCAACAGACGATCTATATATGTTGTATCAGTTCTTTCTGTACCTACCATTTCAGTAATTCGCTGCCCCCAGCTACCCAGTATAGCGAATGGGAATATTCACTGTTCAGGGTCGGTTGGTAGAGTGTATGGCAGCACATGTACCCACCGTTGTAACTCCGGGTACTCGCTGACGGGGGCAGGGACTCTCACGTGCCAGAAAAGTGGCGCTTATACTCCAAACCGTCCAACATGCCAAAGTATGTCTTCACAGGAGCTTGTTATATATAAGGCATATCTCCATATGATTTGTAATGTACCGGAAAACTGTCGAACATGTTACAGTGCATGTATGCTTCTGTATGAGCTTGAAATATACTTCAAACTGGCCACGTGTCAATGTATGCCTTTATAATAATTTGTGATATATATGCAGTCACCCCAACTTGACCTTGTAATTTACATAAAAGCGGCCAACACGACAACTTATGTCTCTACATGACTTTGTATTTTTCAACAGTTTTTCCGCCATGTGGCCATGTGACAATATGTAACCGAATATCTATATGATTTACAGTGTCTCTTTTATAGAAAAAACCCATTATACTGCTCTTGTAATGTACATGTGTAACCATACATGTAGTTCATTCATAATTTGTTAAATATCATGAACGATCAGTATTGGTTGACGAGGAAGCATCTGTTGTCCAGAAATCCAGTGTGGTAGGCCTGCTCTGCCAGTCCATGGAACGCATGTCCGCTGTACAGATGGCAACAGATACCAGAGTGCATGTACACTCTTCTGCCACACGGGGTATTCTCCCAGCAGGGGTGCTAACGCCATATGTTCGGCCAACAAGAAGTGGAGTCAAAGTGCCTGGATATGTGAAGGTGTGTCAAACATAACCATAAACTCGGAATAATATCAACATGATCGGATAATACTTTATTGTATGGGAGATGTTCATCAAAAACATGGTTAATACGAAATATAAAAGATATTAAATTTTATATCGACATATTTCTTTTCACATAAGACATTATCAGTTCCGTGTTGAAACAATCAACAAGACTATTCAAAGACAGTAATATGAATATCAATTGACTTATCATAGCGCTGTCATTTTCATCGTCTGCAATTGTAGACAATATGCAATGGATAATAAGTCTTCTATCGTTATTCCATCATTATATAGCTTAGAAAACCCGAGACGGGACATGAAATCAAAATCACTCACTTCTAAATGTACAGTATTATAACTTTCAGACACTGTCAAGCCGGTTTTCACAAACTGCCCAACTAAGAAAATCAACACCATTGACGAAAGATTCCGCTGGACACCCCTGAAGGCAACGGACAATTCAGGAAAGGTGGTCGTGAAACAGGTTCAAGGTGGACCACCAGGATTTTTGTTGACCGTTGGTGTTCACATCTTGAAGTATGTTGCTTCTGATGATGCAGGCAACACGGCTTCTTGTGTGTTTACAGTGGAGCTCAAACGTAAGTCAGTAAACATAGGACCTGTCTCACTCGTATATTGAGATTTGAAGATAACATGATATCTTTGAGACTGCATTGTCTCCTAAAAAGGTCTCCCGAAAGTGTCGGGCAGTCTAGGTGTCGGTGCACCTTTCTTTAAGATGCAGGTCGACAGGGTTAGAAGGTTCGATTCCCACCCATGTTACAGAACCCCGTTCATCGTGGTGCCTGCCGTAAAACCATACTCATTAACGTACATATTAACGTCCATGTCAAGAAACTTTAAACTATATTTACATCGGTATACGACAGTTAACACAGATATTTTGTATTGTTCTGTTGCTCAAATATATTTTCGATTTTGAGTTGCGTTGATAAATATCATACATATGTACTCACACTGCCGACAATATTCGATTGTTTTGTGCAGAGACTGACTGCCCAAAACCCTCGGTTGGCGACCCGGATATGAAGTTCACGTGTAATGGTTTAACAGTTCAGTCTGTTTGCCAGCTGTCGTGTCGCTCCGGTTCCTTTGTTCAAGGCAGTAGCTACATTTCATGTGTTCATCCTGACAATACGTCCTACTGGGAACCTATCGACGGAGATAACCCAAAGTGCTTTAGTGAGTACAAATTCATGGCTCGCTCTGTGGTCTGAGCATTGGACTTCAATGTATGCTTGATGCTGTAGGATACAGGGGAGATCATGCAATATTAAGTCATCGATACAAGGTTACATAATTCATTACATTTGCATCCTATCAGGCAGAACTACTGAGATCGCACTGGGACCCTAATCGTCTGCAGACCAACACCCCAACATCCATCTTCTGGATATAACAGTGAAACAATTCATGTAGTAACATTCAGTTGGTAGCCATAATTGCAGTGCGACCATATTATTGGATGTGCATTATTTAGCTGGGTTTTGGATATTTAACGTTTGTGTATCATAGTTATGTTCCCTTTCGTAATCTTGCTGGTGTCATTAATATATATCGTTATAAATTGTGCCGAGGAATGTACGCCGTTATCACTAGAGTACAAACCTTTCAGAGAAGAGCTGTCCACAACTACCTGCGCCCAAGAACGGAGCACTAGCATGTGACAAGCAGCTAGATGGGACTGTGTGCCAACTCCAATGTAATGACGGCTTTGACGTGAAGCAAGGGGAGGGCACAGGGGTAACCTTTGTCTGTGGGCTGAACTCTGACCAGTGGAAACCAAGTAGCGTTGTGCCAGACTGCTCGGGTAAATATTAGACACTTTTTAGCAAGCATGTGTTTCCAATTAAGAATTTGCAGACGTTCGTGAAACGAACATGCGTAGGTTTGGTTGTGACAAGGAAAGGATAAAAAACAGGATGCATCTGGGACCATTTGGGGACTCGTGTCCCATGAAAACATAAGATCATAATCGGATTATATCTTAATTATAGATCTGGCGTATCCCGATGAATACCTTCTACCCACCGAACTCTTCTACTTCTGGGGCAATTGTGATGCCCCGGAGACACTGCAGCAGATCAAGCAACAGTTCCTGTTCAATTTGAACTCCCTGGGTATATCACCCTGTGCACGAGAAACATGTTCAGTGGATGACATCGATGTCACCTGTGGCGAGGAATCAGACATAGACGGCTATCTGGACTTTAGGCGGAAACGACGAGCCGTGGCGAGACCAAAGCAGCTTGTTCATATAAAGATGACTTTCCGGCTGAAGAACACAAACAAGTAAAGGCAGAGTCATGTCAGCTCTTTATTACGTTACGTTTTCTCTGCAACCTTAAAGTTCGTCTGTGAAGGCAACAAACCTGAGCTCTCCCTTGAATTGTAACCAAAGTAAATGCAATAAACTTTATGTTGGGATTTTATGGGAGATTATAGATTAATTTATTTGTCCAAGTTATTTGTAATATCATATCACATGGTTGTGAATCACGATGGATGTTTTCTTTGTAGGACGATGTCACCAGAGGCGGCCAAACTCTTGCTACAAAGTCTTGTCGAGAAATCCAAGAATATGATGTCAACAAACACCGCAATGAGGTAACTGTTACGAACTATTCTGTATTGATAGTTTCCTCTGGAGTTTTTATCGAGTGCATGTTGGCAACTATTGCTACAGCTGTAATCATTGAAGATGTAATGCACGGCAGTATTTCATGATGTGTCATTTCAAATATATGTCAACACCACCTCGAATCTATTGCATCTGTTGAGTATTTCTATTTTTTATTTCACGTTAAACCATATGAAATATTATAAAATTGATTTTAACTTACCATGATTCCATCATTTGTGAAAACATTGATCTTTCAGGAAAATGTATATGAAAGCGAATCACATCACTACACCGGCCCCAAGGTTTGTATGCAAGATGATTTGACACATTGTTTGTAAACTACTCAATATGATTTGTAAACTATTTTTGCTTATTAAGCATCAATAATATAATCAGTTAGTCGGTAATGTATTCGTGTTTTGCCCACACTCAGTCTTCAGTGTTGCTGCAGAGGGGCTGGGGCTATATAAGAGCTATAAGCTTAAATTGTTATGAGAGAAATTCAAATTTCAAATTCAAAGGTCAACCCAGAAATCAGTGCGCACGGCTGGGAAATGACCATTCAATCTATGAGTAATCAATAAACTATGTAAACTCACATTTTCAGGTTTACAAGGTAAAATAATGGGTCAAATACGTGGCAGACGTAGAATTAATGTTTGTGCACTTTGGAATGTCCAGAATTATGACACTGTCGAATGTCGTGAAACAAACATGCCTGTCTGCGTCCTTGAGTCCAGAATAGTGTTGGACGCTGGCAGGAATGTGGTGCTCACAGCTATGTATCAAACTCGCACTTGCCAGGTATACATGACTGAGTCTAACAAACACTCGAATCGCCCCCTTGTCGCTCATATATACATGTTGGAACAGCCAACCGTCTAGAAGCTGACCACTTCCGAAACTTCAATGATAAGGCTTGCCATGTTAATGTATACCCGGGCGAAAACTGCTGTTACATTCTGACTATAACCAACCAAACAGCCAACTGACCAACCAACCAACCAACCAATCTTGCGTGCAAAATGGTAAATTAACATGATTGTTATGAACAATGAAAAGCGCAAATAAAATAAATAAATGTTTCAAACATAATCAACTCTCAAACTGTTTTTCAGGCCAAAGTCCAACTTTGCAATTCGTCCTATGAGCAAGAGTTTTGGTGTGAAAACGTCGTTAACTAAAAGGTTTGTCTAATGTAATACATTCTGTTTAAATTATTGCCTTAAGAGTTGAATGTGATAAGGTCATGTTATAGACAAATAAATTTCTGAAACCTCCTGAAACGATTGTTTTCCATTTCATTTGTCAGTTTTGCTCACCAAGATGCAATGCCTTCTTTTGAACTTCTCCCATCTCGACCTCCCCCGACGCCGACTCCCATTATACCACAGCTCAAGGCACGTGCAGTAACAGGAAGTATGACCATGGAGTGTTCCGGGGGTCATGTCCAAATGGACGCCAAGTCCGGCATCTGTGGTATGTACTTTGTTTCCGGGCTCCTTCATACTGGTACATTCTCATGTCTGTATACCATGTCTCCTGGTATGTTTAGCTGTTTGAAGGGTTTCATCAAGGCTACAGCATTCATGGCGTTAGCTTTAACATAGCTTTATGGCAGACATGTGGAGGCCATTTCCAAATGTGATAAACAAGTGCAATTTTGTATTTTGACTTGTACTATAAATACTTGTACCATAAATTCTTGTGTTCAGGTTAACGCTTGCCTTGATTTTTCCAGTTCAAAAAGGATAGATTTTTCCTCAGACTGTTGCTGATGATATATCGAGTAACTCGCGATCAACATTAACCTACCTGCATAAAAGGCCCTATCAACAATTTTACAGGAGTAACGTTCGAACGATAACAGCAAGTTCACATTTATTCCAAGTGCAATGAAGCAAGTCTGAAAGGGACTATATAAATATGCGCATCTGACTCCGTTATCATAATAATAGTTTGACTATCACATTGACAGTAGATGCCTAACTTTAGCACAAACACAGTGTATCTTAAGCGAGATGATGGAGGGGCTCGATTATTTTATTACTGTCTTCGCCAGGCTTGTGGTTTTGACACAGAAGTCCATCCATGGTACGACCAAGAAAATGTAGAGGGCGTCATGGAAAATGATAAATACAAAATTCTTTGAAATAGGCCCGTATACAGCCTCAGACATATCAGGCCAACAAACCTGATTCCAATGAAATCTATATGTATTTCATTGATTGTTTCTGTCCCTTTCGAAGGGGCACGGGTGGTTAGTCGTCTAAGGCGCCGCGATTCGCTACGCCGAGTTTGTCCCTTGGGCACGCCAGAAACCTATGGCTCTGGGATGGAATCCCGGTTCGCCCCTATTATGTTTTTTGGTTTGTCAGCACCATACCCATGCTCGTGGGGTAAACGTTTGAGACCTGCATCAATTCGGGCTTTCCTCCCACATTAAGCTGACACGCCGCGGTATGACTGAAATACTGCTAAAAGCGGCATTCAAACCCAACTCACTCACTTACTCACTGTCCCTTTCGACACTAATGTGATTGGCAAGAATCAAGAAATATATGTCAGGACCTCACTTTCGAAATGTCACGCTTGCATCCCAAGTACCAAGTTGCCCGACTCCCCGTTGACTGACATCGGGAGAGTACCCGAGTATGCTACCAGGAATACAGCCCTTCTGACAATGTGGGTAATGCAGGAGGCTGCAGTGTTTGGGTGTCTTCGCATTCTCCGAAAAGTTCTGAGTGGGTTTGACTAGGCAGCGCTGCCTTAAAGAAGTCCCATTCGCTGTCTGGGCTGCCTGCAGAGGGGGCAAGGGCCCTGAGCTGATGATGAGCCTAACCAGCCTGACTGTGCCAGGATCACCCAAACCCTCTTTGCTGCATTTTTCATAATAATAATAATAATAATAATAATAATGCAGTCTTCAATAAACATTTAAGCCACAAAGAACAATTCATTTCGAGAAAATTCTAGATGTGCGGTCATTATCCTTGGGAAACAAGTGGAGATGTGTTCATAGACTGGTTTGAACATCAGCTCCTGCCCAATCTAAACAATCCTAGTGTCATTGTCATGTATAACGCCAGTTATCATAACCTTCCGGAAGCAGATATTGCCGTGACAACCATGAGTAGTCTGAAGGCGACCATGCAGGAATGTCTGACATCTTGCAATGTCGAGTTCAGACCATCTGAAACAAAAGTTCAAGTCGTGGAGACAATTCGCCTAAATAAGAAACCAGTAAGGTACAAGACATATGTCGCACAACACGGTCACGTTGTCTGATGTACGCCAGTCAGACATTGTGAGCTCAACCAATTGAGCATGTCTTGGCTACCTGTAAAGGGTTCGTGGTAAGACATGACACAACATTCAAACTCCCACATGTCAAAGGGTTGATTAACGCAGGCTTTGCCAGAATCACACCAGAGGTATGGCAAAAGGATGAAGATCACGTTTTGAAATAGAACGTCAGTTCCGCTAACGTGACGACAATGTTGCCCCAGTTATCATACCTTTGGGTGATAGTACAGATTCAGATACATCATCAGCTGAGTCAGGTGCTGGCAGGAGAAATTATCTGCAGAATAAAAAAATACTTCTTGATTAAAAAACCCAACCTTCCAAACCTTCTGTTTCATAGGTTTCAACTATTCCGTCATTTTTTCCAAGCACGTATCAGTACAAATCTTATTGGTACCTCGTCAACGCATAACAGCAATATTTTGCACAACATTTGCACCTGTGAGAATGCACGGAACGGAGTGGGGTCATCACGTCGAGACAGGTGTTAGGTACTTACCCCAGGCCACAGGCCACACATGCATGGATTACAACACACGGACATGTTCTAAGTTTATCATCATTTTATATGTAAAATTCCCTTCTTAGGCTAATCACAGTGTTAGTTAGGATAGGCTAGGTTAGGTAGATTTGCGTTATTTTGATATATGATATTTTAAAAGCCCTATGCTTCGTATTTATGAAATGAAGTCAGAAATGCATTTTCTAGCATTTCCGACAGTACTGTAATGATATATTCGAACTAAAGACACTGTTTTCAGCAGATTTTTCGTATGATTATGGCAAGGGTTTTGTTCCTTTAACATGTAGGTATGTAACTTGTACTAATCTAAACGCAAAGAAACATGATGTATTCGTCACAAGTGGTAGTCTCTTGGAGACTGCACAGTGTACATTATTACCTGCATGCAGTATGAGATACTTTAACCTGCTATCTACCAGCCTGTTCTGGCATATGTTTTAGGCCTGCTACACCTACTGAATGTATAAATATATCAGTAACTGGTCAGCATCAAGTCGCAGGGGATGACTACGCCGTCGTCGAAACGGGCTAAATGGGAACATGTAAAGACAGGATTTCTCTATGGTTTGCGGGAAGAAAATAAGCCAGCGATAAATTAGATATATGCGAACGAAATCATTAAACCCGACCTTGGCTGGACCATTTGAGCAGTTCTTCAAGGAGTTGTAGGGACGAATTGGTTACTACAGAATGAGAAATAATCGTATACAATATCCGTTCTATATAAATTCCAACTCAGTATGTGCCATCATCTGACTTCCAGTGCCCTGCTCGGTGGGGACGTACGAAGATAAAATGAAGGGGAAATGCGTGCCATGCCCATTCAACACCTATCAGAACAGTCTGGGTGCGACCTCTTGCCATCTCTGCCCACAGCTACATACAACCGCCTCTACTGGATCTACAGCCAAAGAGGACTGTATCGGTAAGTTTACTGATGATGCGATTGCATTTGAATTACAAGACATCCACGCGAGGATACAAATATGAAATATCGCCCCATAACGTAACATGTGCAGTGGGATGGATAATGACGGATAATGGAATACTACTTTTGAAAATAACAATGCAAATAACATGATCGATGATTATCATTACAAGAAGATCCATCACTAGATTTTTAAGACGGAACAGTTTCTTTTAATCGCTTTAAACCTCAAGTCAAAGCGTTTCCATATACAAGTTTGTGATACTAGCATCGACATCAGTAAATATCAGAGCACCTCCAAAACTTAAGTTATGCCAACACGGAACACAATTTACATGCAGTGTTTCCAAACAAGGTTCAACTTAGATTAGCATAATGTTAATGAAAAAATTGAAACTTAGCCCATAGCATTTTCCTTTTTATCTCTTTTAAAACAAATTAAAAATAGCACAAGTCACCAACTTGCGTCAATATTGTCAGAACTTAATACTAAATAGCATACATCGTATGTGAGTGAAGGTATACATACATCATGTAATATGTATCTCTAGTTCATTATAAAGGACCCTTAAAGTGAGTGTGTAAGTGCTGTTTAATGCTGCTGTGGCAGTATTGTCGGGAACACAAGGAAAGAGCTTTTTCAAATTCTGTCTAGGTCATGAACAAATCCTTGTACCACAAGAAGACTCCATTGCTGGTTGACAAAACATTACGGGCTTGTGTTGCAGGACCTCCTGTATGATACTTAGTATTTGCATTTCTCATTTATTTCAGCATTGTGTTCCTCGGATACATTTTCCACGACTGGATACCACCCCTGCTACCCATGCCCCCCGGGAACCTATCAGACGAACACTGGCGCCACGACATGCAATCCATGTCTCAAGGCCGCGAGTGAAAGGCCAAACTGTGTCCTTAAGCAGGACGTTGGCAATAACACCGCTATTCCTGATTATCTTAGAGTGTCCGAGTTCTTGCTGACCTGTGACAATGAATTGTGTCTGTCTTTCTAAGAACTGGAATTGTCAGGGGGAAAGCATGTCATGATCATAATGCCACATTCGCATCATGGAATATGCCAATCATTCCAATGTATTGTTCTTTATAACTTGGATGGTGTGTAATAAAAGTGACAACAAACAATTAAATAAAGTCCTGTTTGTTATAACGATGGTTGTTGGCCAGATCCTTGATAGAGATCAGTGCAATAAAGTCCGACAGAATCGACGTTAGGCATTAAGCGTTTGCAAGTATAAAATTAATTAAGTAAGACGAAGAAGCAGAAGAAGATGAAGTCCATATCTAATGCGCCTAATTCCATTCACCAATGTAATGCTCATTACGCGACATTATTATTACCCCCGGTTAACAGTCACATTACCATCTCATCCTAACGGGTACCCATTCACTGCTGAGTGAGCATAGGTATATTTCGAACAATGTCGTTAACAGTCACATTACCATCTCATCCTACCGGGTACCCATTCACTGCTGAGTGAGCTTAGGTATATTTCGAACAATGTCACTTTTGCTGCATGTGGTTCAGTGTAGGGAAAGACGAAAGCCCTAGAAACTCTCAGGAGTCGCCAATCAAACTACAATCCGCGACCGACGTCCTTACCTTTGACCTATGCGCTGTAAACAGGATGATGCGCCGCAAAATATACTAAATCAAAGTGACTAGGATCATGTTCCCAGTTGTCACGTTGTGAGGGGGCTGGCTCAGTTGTCTAACGTACCGCTCGCTATTCTCTGTGTAGATTTTAGTCCCTTAGACGGGCCAAAAAGCTGCGTTCGTTGACTCGAATTTCAGACTCGGCTTTATCATGTTTCGCATTGTGTCAGCACCACAGCAGTATTCGTTGGTTTCCAAATTTTAATTCACCTATCAGATCCCTGTTTGAAAGGGAAAGCAAGTTTAAGATGTGACTTTCTTTTCAGTAGGTTATGTGATCACACCCACTGCTTTCGTTGGACAAACTAGTTTGGAAAGTTTAAGAAGTTTCCAAAATAAAGAGCCCTTTTACAACTGCATGCCTCGGATGGGACGATGTTTGTTGAAGTGTTCATAAAATCTAACAGTTGTGAAGGTGGTCGTATCGAAAAATATATCATGACACAGCGTGCACCATCAACAATAACAATGGATAGAGGCACAGCTGAGGGATCTCGAGATCTGCACAGCGATATGTGGCGCCCAAGACTTCTTGTCCATGGTATTGAATGCAACGTAATTTGATACAACTTCAAGGCAGCACCTTAGATCACCAGGAGGGTCGTTAAGGAATCGGAATATATATGCATGTGGATAGAAACAAAATGCTGTTGAAGTCAGACTTTTAAATGTATCTGTAACCTAGGGAATGTAATTCTGAACTAAGTTCTTAACAAATGGTTAATAACATGGCTAACGGAATATACTGTATGAACAGATTATGCACCCACACATTACAACTATGTGTGCTGAATGACGTACTTTGAAGCAGGATAATGAAATATTGAAATTATATCGTTTAAACTGGAAGTGGGGATATATGTTGTTTATCATCTGCCAAACATATAGCAGCCTTTTGCAAAACAAGCCACCATAAAGCACGCTGTGCAAGCGATGAGAAAAGAACATTGAAGGGATGTAACATGAAGCTCTCAAGACAATTTCTCACTGCCATAATCTACAAATATTCAAACATTATACAGGAATGCATACATCGTAAATCAACATTTAGCAATGGATAGCTGACAAAGATAAGTACATATTTAGACGACAAAAATGTCGAGATGTCGAGATACATGCCAGGACATCAGATAGCTGTACTTTACTGTACCATATCTAAGTCCGCTTGTGTCACATTGAACATTCTTTGATAGGAACAAGATGGGGAGCACAATTGGTGGCCATGTAGATGCCTACTTCTTGCCTAAATGTCCTATCTGCAAAGTTCACATGGATGTTATCTATGAGGATGTGCAACATTTCACATATTGTTTTCAAAGTAAACTTCAAGTAACATTTGTTTTCATGTTTGACAAATTGTCCTCACATACAATGTTTGTCTTTCTGAAAGGACGAGTGTAACACGTTTAGGAGGTCTATTAAGTTTCTTTTTAGAGAAACTCTAGACAACATTATTATCTCCAGTGTGTCCTGGAACTAAATATTTAAATAAACTAGAAACCAAACACTTGGATGTTTGACTTTTGGCGTCTATAAAATCACGTTTTGATAACCAAACCCATACTTTTATGATCGGGTTTTATTGAAAGGGTTAATCGAAGGGTTAAATGATTTCGAGTTTCAAGCATGTTAAAACGTTAAAAACAATTTAAACATCTAGATACATTATTAACTAAAGCAAATAGGCTGTCGTACTGTTGAATGCATTAAGCGTCTGGTATCGGGTATTGTGCTGGTACGCTTGATTTCAACACATCTGAAGAACGGAATCATGGGGTGTTACAAATTATGTACACGTGATTATAAAGGTCATCTGTGATCGCTGAAGCATTGTTGTAGAATGTTCATGACTGGTTTATGTGTTGAAATGTGTATCTCAGAGTGATTAGTTTAAGAATGTCGTGATCAAATTATATTATATATATCCACATAAGAATAACAGGTGTATGCACATAAGAATATCTGTTAATGTATTTTACATAGACCTAGGTACCACTGTTGGCTTGAGAGAACTTTCCACTTGATTTTTGAATTCTCACACCACAGATAAACTGCCATACATTTACGATATCCGGCACTGTTAGTAACAGAGTAGCAATGATGATGAAAACAATTCCAGCTGAACCCACAGTAACTGCACTCGGTCTATCATCACTGACACTAATTTTCCTCCGTAGGGTACTTGAGAGATTGTGTGTTGGCAAAGTTAGTTGTTTCTTAATTTCATCTGTTATCTTCAGCAAGTCGACTGCAGATAGATTGACGGCACATGTACATATGCAAGCTGTCGATAAGGTCTGGGGTACAGACGGAGGGGGGAAGACAGATATTGTAGACGTTGCCGGAGTGGCCGACACGGGTGCTGATGGGGCACAAGTTGTGCATGTCGACGTGAGACTAAGAGGATAAGATGTGGTTCTGCTGACAACTGATGACTCGATCAGAGAGTCATAGTCAGTGTGGTGTGATGTAGATGTTAGCATCACAGATGAAGGTAAAGAAGAGGTAAGTAAACGTAACGATGTAGCATCGTCTATGTATGTTGGGGGGGTGTACAGGCTGAAGATGGAAGATGATTCCAAGGCAGTTTTAAAGTCAGAAGAAGATGTTCCTGCATCAAGCACTGTTGATGAAATGAACGGATTGATGCTTTTAGAAGGGGTACTGTATGACATGTACACAGAAGCTGGTGATGGTGATGACGATGGTGTAATGGACGTCATACTTTCTGAGGATAATTGTGACGAAGAAACTGAACCGTCTACAACTAAGGATGACGAAGCCACATTGTCTGAATGTTGAGATGACCAGGAGACCATACTATCTATAGGTGGTGATGGAGAAGAAGAGTCAACACTTATTCCAGTTGAGATTGTAGATCCGATGTTCTGTGAAGATGAAACAGTAGAGGTTGAAAAGGAACTTGCTGAAGTGGGCAGAAGATGGTGGGCAGTTGTAGAAGTACTTGCTAGATAATCCGATGAATACTGTATGTCGGTTGTTGACGACACGGTCGATGATATGGTTGTTAATGATGAACTAACTGCAATTTCGAACGAAAACGTTATTCTCATGTATGACATTTTATAGTGCTTACATCGATAGAAATGTCACGATGTCAGGATTTACCGCGCCTCAAAGGTAATATATTATATCATAAAGATAAAAAACAAACAATATATCTATGGTAGAAAATTGTATATGCATCAAGTGGCAGTCTATTTAAAGTAAGAAGGGAATTATTATGATCAATGCACTTTTCAAGGGCTCAACAAATTGCTTACCCGACTCACAGTTGACGCCAGTGTGTTCTGGTAAACACTCACAAGTGTAGGTATACACACCATCCTTACACGTGCCTCCGTTCACACACGGACTGCTCTCACACTCGTCAAAATCTGAATGTACAAGAATAACGTAATGGTTCATGTGGCTTACTGTCGCCTTACATGCATAATGGGTTTCATCAAGTACCCGCATTTTGTGTAATCATAAATACAAATTTAGTTTGACGAAGGAGGTTGTACGTCTGATTGAACTGAACCACAATGTTCTAGGTCTTTGAAAAGCAACCACAATGTTCTAGTATTATAAAGTGCAAACCGCTGTTGTGTCCAAGTCTTACTTTGAGTAGTTATTCTAAGAATCACCATTCATAAACTCTCCTCTGTAAATTACGGATCAGAATAGAATTCAAGTATCCATGTATCTTTGAAATAAAGGCAACCTGAAATATGTGACACTGTTGGTGTTGTGTCATCCTTCCCCGAATTAATACTGCCAACTGATACTGCCAACTAATACTGTCAACGACTGGTTTGTCTGGACGAGACACGATCGCCTTCTGGTGTCCCTGATACAGCTGCATTATTGTTGAATGTGACGTAACTAGATAATCATTAACTATGGGAAACTGATGTAAGCATCCTTACCAAAGACCATTCCAAGTGGTAACCCATACCCGCCAGATGACATAAATCCGTATGCGATTGCGCCTAAATATGATCCCTTCACTGAGAGGTGTATGGAAGATCCACTGGCTGAAGTAAAATTTACTGCAAAATCACATCCCGGTATGGACCGATAGTCAGATGTATTTGCATATGCCGTTGAAACTGTCATGGCGTAATATGTTGTAAAATCAGTAAGTGACGAAAAGTCAGCCATGTACGAAGATAGAAATCGGTCTGTAGAGGGCACCTGCGTCATGAATCCATCACCATCTCCTACAACTGTGTCAGCCTTCTTGCTTTTACCATACATGACAACCAGAATCGGATGGTTAGACGTGAGGCACATCTCCCCATTAGCAGCTGTATCGATATCGAAATAGTCACCAAACCCCAGAGAAAATGATTTCCCAGTACTAGTCTTCACCACTGTCCCATCCGCTGATGCAACAGTGCGGTATATAGCGCCACTGTCTCTTCCTTCCAAATTATGGATCACGAAACTAGACCCTAATGCTTCAATGGGAGCTATCATCTCCACAAGCATATCCAGGCCGTCAATGCCTTCAGGAACCCTTGCACATGGATGTCCTGAAAGAAGAGACACTGGTTTGGTGCTTTTAACGTACGTCCCTGTTAAATCGTGAGTACAAAAGATTCCAAATGTTTTGTTTGCACTTAGGCTGAACGTAGCAGTGTCTCCATCTAAATGGTTTCCTGAACCGCATGTTCCGCCATCTTTAATCTTGAACTTGACTGTCACGCTTGTTTTATCTTGGATTGCTGATACAAGCATTGTTGGACTGTAGTTGGATTGTGTATAGGATGCAGCTATGTAGGTCGTAGAGAGATAGGTGGTTGGAATAGCCAAATATCCATCAGAAGAGTATGTGTTATAGTCCATGACGTACACAGACACGTCGGATGTCGAATCAACGGCGACGGTCTTTTCTTGAACTTCCTCTGTGTCTGAAGAATAACGAATGGAGTTCGCCAGCTCGACGCTCAAAGACAGCCCACTGTCAATCTCATAGAACTTGACTGTTCCTTCTAAGTGGTTTGTGATTGTGACATCAGCCTTCGTTTCTGCCATTATTAGTATGTATGCCTTTCCTTGTCCGTAGCCGTTTTTTAAAAACGACAGAAGAAACTGTTTCCCTTTATGGTCGCCCATTGGAGTTGAGCCTGTTTTGGCAAAATTTAAGATACTGTTATATTCATGAGCATATTACTGTTTTGGAAAAATTACCGCAATGGTATTTTAACAAAAGCATTCGAAATATTTTTTTTCAATGATGACTATAGTTACATAAATGAACGGGAATGTAAGCTGTAATCTGATGGAAAACGCTTTTAAAAGGGATTGGATCCCACAAATATTTCAATACTTTTCTTGATTAAATGTCTTCTTTTGTTATAATCTCAATCTGAAACAGCAGCATGGCGAAATGGATATCATATTAATTAAATATTAAGTTTGATAATATTTTTTTCACATTCTGCATTGTTACACGAATATGCACACCATAATCTTTAGAATAATTGTAATGAGTTACTTTACTTACCGTTCACAAAACAGGAAACTGCGACAATGACAAATAACAACTTAAGAACCTGGTGCGGCATCGTTATCCCTCCATGCATCTTAACTGCCATGAGAGCGTGTGAGTGACAGCTACCGTCTCCTACAGTAGGCAATGATTTCCATCAAGGCTTGGTTCCCGTTGCCAATACTCCCTGCAATCGATGGCCCAGCTTCGCTTCGTATCCACTGGAAGTCACGCCTTGTGAGGATAATCCCACATGCTATGTTTCGTGTTAAGGTTGAAACCAGTACAAAGTATTGTCCTTTCATTTTGCGAAAATAACTGTCTTTCATTTCATCATGGTAGACATATTGGTGTTTAATCGTTTCACGTACACAGCACGGAGTTTGACTTAGTTCCGAAAGGGTGCAACAACAAAGCTTACCCAAAGCTCTTTATGAACCGGACAATAGATAAATAGCTTGTGAAATTTGTTTATATTGAGAGTTTGAAAATATGCATTAACATCTAATATATTCGTGCTATGAACTAATTATAGGAATACTGGATAAACACAAAGTAAACATCAAATCACATGAGATAAAAACGATGCTAGATTAATGCAGTCTGTGTGAATGATCACGAGGCTACTGAATACCCTCATGACTGATATAGAACATGCAATCATAATATCGACAACACCAATTGTTTATCTTAGTCTGCAAAGGTTATACAGGTAATGTCGATATTATTACACTTGGAATCATCTATATTTGTTAGATATATGCTTGATATAGAACTGCGTTCGTTAATCATTATTAATATAAATAAACATAGTCAATTAAGGACACGTTAGCTAAATTCGTTATGTCCATTGAGATTAAACATTTATTTATTTGTGTTGAAATCGAATAAATGTATATTTTTATATGACGACAAAATGTCTGATATTAAAAATTGATAAGTGAGTGAGTGAGTGAGTATGGTTTGACGCCGCTTTTAGCAATATTCCAGCAATATCACGGCGGGGGACACCAGAAATGGGCTTCACACATTGTACTCATGTCGGGAATCGAACCCGGGTCTTCGGCGTGACGAGGAAACGCTTTAACCACTAGGCTACCCGACCGCCCCAAAAATTGATAAGTATAGGCATTTAACCCATTCAACTACACCACATATAGACACGATTTTTTCTCACGTTCGTTTGTATTTAAACGCGCGTGTGTGTGTGTGTGTGTGTGTGGGGGGGGGGGGGGGGGGGGGGGACTTATACGCAGGATCTTCACGGAATCGTATCCCAAAGGGTATTATTCATGAAGATATTAATTTCCGGTATAATTCCGGAATATCAACTTGCACGCGAATAGATTCCAGTCACCAATCAAAAGAGTCATTTTCGAAACTACAATTAATCATAAAAATGTTCAACTACCTCCATTCCCATTTATAAGAAATAATTATTAATGCCATGCCATAGTTATACGTAGCTTGTCTGCGATTAGATTTGCTTAATTGCTGGGTTGACGTTCAATGTAATAATGTACGATAAAGGACGTTTCGGAAATCTGATCGGATCTGATTACAGTAATGACGGCTGATTCCAAATATCCTGCGTTAAACATTACTTGATGAAGTATATAGAACATAACACCCATTACATGTGTGCCTATTGTGAGACTGAAAACTTGTATGTCAGTTGTACTTTAATCATTCTGTTTTACTTCTGACGCGTTGTTTTTGAGGTGGGTTCTGGGAACACACCGAATGATGTGTCAGTTCCAAATTACTGAGTAATCCACGTGCTATGGGTCCTCAACGTTTTACCAGCTAAGGGACGCAACCCTGCACAGCAAACTACATCGCCTCAGCCCACTGGGCCAACCTTACGCTTATGTCTGTATTCGCTTGTGTCTGTGGCTGTAACTATCACTGCGTAACCTTAATTAGCCTCATGATCGTGATGAAATACATTTAGAGTCATGTTTCAGTTGTACAAAGTCCTGATTTGGAAATGACACAGTGACAGAAAATAAAACGCCCAATCAACTGCAAATGAAGGAGATATGAATTAACGCGAGATTGTGTTGGTCTTTTGATCTCTCTGATGCATAATTCTATAGGTACTAAGACCACGAGGCTACACAATCGTCGGATGTCCGATTCCTAGAAGTCAGTGAAACAACGAAATGAAAAAGAAAAAACTATTAACCGTTTCTGGAACTATATAATTCGTCTTATATATGTGTGATGAGTGTTACATTGTTAGAATCAGTTGGCCAGCAACAAGAATATCGTGGCATTCATATTAAGACAGACACTCGTCATGGAAGGAGAAAAAAATGCAGCTGAGAGCGACTTTGTGAGTTGCGAAATCACAATTGTGTTCACGCGGAAGTAGTAACACTAGGGAACAGCGACAAGGCTTGGCTTTGTGAATTGTACCATCATCTTGATGAAGACAATGGTGAAATTTGTGTTCCGAAACATGACAGAAATTCTAGTGTGAAGAAACATGTATTTGTATGCCACAAAAGACCGTGAAGTGTCAAGGAGAGTGAGTGGGTGAGTGAGTATGTTTTTAACGCCACTTTGTAGCAATATTCCAGCAATATCACAGCGGGGGACACCAGAAATGGACTTCACACATTGTACCCATGTCGGGTATCGAACCCGGGTTTTCGGCGTGACGAGCGAACGCTTTACTTCCTAGGCTACCCGACCGCCCCTGTCCAGTAGAGACTTGACCCCAGAAACTTTCGGACAAGTGTGCCTCTGTCAAAACATATTGCAACTGGGCAATGAAAACGTGTGACCGAAAGGACAGGAACGTACTGTCATCACTGATCACGATCGTTGTCATGGACGTCTGGACATGTTATGCCACAAGTTGGTGTCTCGTGATTATCTTGACAGTTTTCAGTTTGGCAGACAAACAAGCAGGCCCTAAACATGAGGGATATTTCACATGTACGTATGCATATGTAATACTCCTTACTGCAATGTATCTTTCAAATCCTGTGAAACTTAAACTTGTCTTTCATGGTTTGCTTTTAACATAACATTTGGTTTCCTTTTTACAAAATACACACACATACACACACACGCTATACATATGCGTATAATTATGAATGTGAAAACCTGTTAGATTCTTTCAAATATTTATGAACTGCTTGAAAGTCATTAATATTGTTATTATAACTAAGATGTATATTTATTTACCATATTATAATGCTTCTAAATCTGGTTGTCCTTCTTGTAAAACTATAGAATGTTTAGTCAGTTAGTTGTCAGGTTGCAACACACGTGATATTACAAAATATACTTGATTTTGTACAATGCCATCTTATACATCATATATGTATAACCGTGATGTAAGTGACGCAACCGTACTCTGTATATACAATAATGTCTGGATGCTTTGACGACTTTCTGATGATAGTTATGTATAGAATATTGTTATTGTTTGTTAGGGGGGGGGGGGGGGGGGGCACAGGTGGCCCAGCCGTGTAAGGCGCTGCGATTCGCTGTGCAGAGTTTCGTCCCTTAGGCACGCCCGAAACCTTTGATTTTTTGTTCGAATCCCCGTTCGCCCCGATTATGTTGTTAGGTTTGTCAGTTTGTTTGTCATACCCGTGCTTGTGGCTTTCACCGTAGTGGTAAACGTCTGTGACCTGCATCACTTCGGGCTTTCCTCCCACATTAAACTGACACGTCGTGATGTAACTGAAATTATGTTAAATGCGGGTTAAACCCAACTCACTCACACTTTCTTCGAAATGGTCGTACGAAGCCTTACTATGTGCCTCTAAAACATCTACATCTACATCTAAAGTCCTACAATGGCGATACAAAAAGATATAGGTGGGAGATGAATGCAGGTTTGCACGTTAAGCTATAACAAGACAAGTCCAGCAACGTTCTATGTGTTCTAGCTGTTATTCAATGTTTTCGGGTGGCAGTATATGGCATTCATGCGTCTGGCCAATGCTAGTCATCAAGTCTTAACATATATAGCATATGATCATTACTACACCAAGACGTCAGTACCAGGTGAAAAATCATCACCGCTAAGTTGAATAATTCAAATATGAATTAGTCTGAATAACATTTTGAATGGAATTAAAACATAAAAAGTATTCAAATGAGTCTTCACTCAGTGATAGTTATGGCCGAATAGTGATGTGTCTAATAGTCTATACGCTATTGGTCTTTCCCGTCAACATCATGATTTATACATAGATCAATTCTTTGTCGTCTTTGGCTTTGTTGTCGTCTAATAAAGAATGCATGACGTGGCGATACAATCGTCGACTCTTCGTGTACCCTTGGCGTGTGCAACACCATGAGCCGAATGAAACATGAAACATGTTGGAGAACGTGTCTACAATGACCAGTATAATCGAATTACTTGTAAGTACGAATTGTATATGTGTAAACGCCAGGTGATGTATCTGCGCAACAATTGTTTTCCTCCGTGAATTTAAACACATAATATCCCAAATCAAGATATATTCATCCATTGCTAACAGCTATTAACATAAGTCAGTGTGAATTTGTATAATATATACTTGCACTGTGAATATTTTCCAAATGACACATAATAGAAGTATAAAGCCGTAATGGAGCATCACGTGTAAATGTTCCTTATATCTGAAAAGAAACGAAAGACAAAATGGATCAAAGAAACGTATCAAACACTTCTCACAATGTCTTTAACCGCAGGGCTTTCTATTCTTTGTAGAGATAATTCTGTACCATGTTCATTGTTGTCTGACAGCGGTATAATGATCTATACCGGAACGTCGCTATCACAGTAAAAAATAGAAGTTATCCATTAACTCCTGTTGACTTAGTAAAACAGCACAGGAAGCTGGCGGGTGGGCAAACAGACGCGACATTGGAGCATGATGCATCATGGTCTTTTGTCCGTGAGGACCTACATTGTATGTACAGTACAACAAATGATCATTATACACACGGGGAAACTCGAACGTGAACCTGAGCATTCACACCTACACGCTAATGGAATATTACAATAAGTCATTTGCAATAAAGAAAACATATGGAGTGCGATAGGTTTTGCATGGTTGTCTTAAAGCACAGGTAGATAAAAAAAATAGGATGCAAATCACTCAACGGGAC